GCGCAGGCCCCCCCCTCTCCAGGAGCGGGGCAGCCGGCCGCTGCGAGATGCTGAAGGTGGGCAGGCCACCAAAAGCTGGGTCACGGAAGGAGAGGGCGTGCAGCAGCCCGGTGCGGCGCTGGAAGGACGGGCTGTAGCTCCGGTAGCCGATGTAGCCCGAATCATCTGCGCTCTGCAGGTTGGGCTGTGATGGGTGCTTCTGCACGGGCGCCGGCTCCCGAGGAGCGGGGCAGCCGGCCGCTGCGAGATGCTGAAGGTGGGCAGGCCACCAAAAGCTGGGTCACGGAAGGAGAGGGCGTGCAGCAGCCCGGTGCGGCGCTGGAAGGACGGGCTGTAGCTCCGGTAGCCGATGTAGCCCGAATCATCTGCGCTCTGCAGGTTGGGCTGTGATGGGTGCTTCTGCACGGGCGCCGGCTCCCGTGAGGAGGAGGAGGAGGAGGAGGAAGGCGCGAAGGAGCCATGCTGGATGGGCTGCCTGACGGTGGCGACGGTGGCCCGGCAGACCCTCTCAGGTGGCCACGCGGAGCGGTCGAGGTGAGGGGAGAGCAGGGCGCCGGGCTCCAGCGCCTCCATGGAGCGCCCATACCTGCCCAGGTAGTGGTCGGAGCGGGCACGGGGCGCCCAGCCCTCGCGGGAGGGCTGCAGCAAGGTGTCGTGTGAGGCGCTGTGGGGCCAGCCCCGGGGGGCGGCCGCCGAGCCCCCCAGCCGGTCCTGGGACACGCTGCGGTAACGGGGCGGCATGGCGTGCCGCCGCTCCTCCGAGGCGCTCCGCCGTGGCTCCTGGCTGCAAAACCAGCGGGACAGAGCCTGCTGGCACTCCTGCCGGCTGGGTGCCCGCTGGCTGCCCGCTGCCTCCCGGGGGGGCCGCCCGGCCCCCGCCAGCCCCCCGACACCCTCCTTGAAGCCACAGTGAGTCCGGTGCTCCGTGAGGTGCTTGGGGACCCCGTAGCAGGAGGGGGTGGCGGAAGGGATCCCATAGCGGTCAGGCAGAGAGGATGCGACGTTGCTGGGGCAGCTGGTGCGGGAGAAGGAGCCGGGGTGCCCGTGGGGTGCGGTGGGGAGTGGGGGAGGACCCCCGGGCTGCGGCTCGTCGGGGCGGTGCGCGGGGCTGCCACCCGCCTCACTCCGGGTGCTGGCGAGCGTGGCCGTGCCGAGTGGGGATGAGGGGCTCGCGGCGGCGGGGCGGTGGGTGCGGGCGTCCGGCGGCTGGCCCGAGGGAGACTCGGCACCCCGCGCCTGGAAGGGGTACGTCTTCCGTGGGTAGCAGATGGGAGGGGGCTCGGGGATGCTCTGTGCCCCACCGGAGTACGGCTCGTTGCCCTTCAGGTAGGCATCCTGCGAATACGCCTGCAGGGGGATGGGGGGGTCAGGGTGGGGGGGCTGGGGCTGCAACGCCGTGCTCCCACCACGGGCAGGGTGCCACAGGGGTGCTCTCTGCTCCTCCCCAACCTGCAAGCAAACCTCCCTGTTGGGGTGAGCTGGGCAGGGCTGGCTGCAGCCCCCGTGGTCCCGCTTTCCCATGGGGTCCCCCCGGCACTGAGCAACGCTGCCACCAACACCAGCCCTTCTGCTCTCTCTGCTGCCTGGCCGCCCTCCCTTCCCCTTCCCTCCTTCCTAAAATACCCTGGCACGGCTGGCCGGGCCCGGCTCTCCCTTCTCACTTTTCACAGGCACCTCCAACTTCAAGCCCAGGGGATCCTCAGAGCCCAGGGCAGGCAGAGACGTGAGATCCCCTCCTTGCCAGGGCTGTAAGACCCCCCCCAGCCCAATGGGAGCGGGTCCCCCAGGCTGGGGCCAAGCAGCGGTGCCACCTAATAGCCAAGTCTGGGATGGGTGCCGGCAGCCTTGGTGGCAGCACTGCCGGGAGAGCCCCGGGAGGCAGCCAGGACTGGAGGAGCACCAGGCAAAGCCCCATGCACACCCATTGGCTCAGGTCACCCTGCTAGGGCCACTGCTGCCCCCGGACCCCAGCTCACTGACAACAGAGCCGCTTGGGGTGCTCCAAGGATAAGCCAGACCCTGAGACCCAGAGCAACTCACCCTGCAGCTACGCCCGAGGATGCCCCCCCAAAAAAACAGGGGCCATGTCCCCCATCCTTCCTGCCCCGGACTCCCTGGTACCTCCGTTTCCGCGCCCACTGCTGCTCCAGGGATGCTGGTGGGGCCCTGTCCCCAAGTGTTCCCAGCAGGATAGGGGCACTTGGCCACCCCCACCCGAAGCGTGGGAGGAGCGTGGGCAGGGACAGACCAGCCTCTCAGGTTTGGTGGGGCAGGAATGCCGGCACAGCCCGGGAAAGCCGCGCCGGGGAACTCTGGAACCAACCCGGTCCCTGGCACCCGCCTGGCAAACTCACCAGCTGGAGGATGTCCTCGTCCTTGGGCATGATGGAGAGCTCCAGCACATCGTCACTGCGGGGAGAGGGGACAGAGGGGTCAGGGTGGCCGGGGTTGGTCCCCGCCTGCCCCCAGAGAGGCCAATCTCACGCTCAGCCAGATCCCCCCTGAGAGGACGAATGTCCCCATCCCCACGTGATGGTCACAGCACGCCGCTGCCTGTCCTCAGCCCCCTGCAGCACCACTGCCTGCGGGCACCCAAGTAACTCACCGCTCCTGCCGCCCCGGTGACACCCAGGGGGACAGTGCCTGCTGCGACGTGTCCCCTTCATGTCCCTCCCCGGCTCTGCCCGTCCCTGCGCTCCTCCCAGCCCCAGGAAGGGGACTCACCTGTTCTGGATCAGTGCGATGACCTGTGAGTAGGTTTTCCCAATGATGCTCTCCCCGTTCACCTTGACCAGCCGGTCCCCTGCAAACAGGGTGGAGAAGACAGTGTCACTGCAAGTCAGTGGGGAGGTGGTGGCACTTGGCTGTCCCCGCCGTCGCTCACAGCAGGGTTTGAACACGGCCAAGGCTTTTGCCAGGGGCAGAGCCAGGTCCTGTGTGGCAAGGGGAGCTGTGGGGACCCCACAACCAGCCTAACGCACAGGGATCCCAATGCTGCTCTGGGCATCCCAGCCCAGGAATGAGAGAGCAGAGCCCCTGGCAGTGCCAGGGAGCAGAGGGAAGCACGGGGCAGAAAAAAGAAGGAATGCAAGAAAAAGAGCAAAAGAAGCAAGAAAGTCCCCGGCAGAGGAGGGAGAGCATCACACGCATCCCGCAAGCAGACTGGAGCCATCTCCGGCTCGGTCACCCCGCACGCCCCCACTCACCGGTGCGCAGCCCAGCCTGGTGCGCCGGCCCGTCCTCCCGCACGTTCTTCACAAAGATGGTGTCCATGGGCTCCAGGCGGCTCCGGGGGGGACCTGCTCCCCGGGGACAGAGAGTCAGGGAGCCGCCAGCACGGCCGGGTGCATCCCACAACAAGAAGCATGCTTGGCCCCTCACGGTACCCTCCTCACCTTGCCAAGCCCATGCACGGCAGCCCTGCCTGCACCTGGGACCTGCGGAGCACAGGTCCTGCCCTGGGCAAAGCCCCCATCTCAGCACAGCCCCCAGCACCCATCTCCCCCAGCCGTGGCTGTTCCCCAGCGTGGCTGCAGCCACAGTCCTTTGCAAGAGCAAAAGCCATCGGGTGCTGCAAGAAACCGGAGGGCGGTGGATGGATGCCAGAGGGATGGTGCCAACAAGGGATGCTGAATCCCCCGGGGACCACCTGGAGCGAGGCCGGTGTCCCCCCAGCCCCGACGGGCACTGGGTGCCAGGTCTGGCTGCTGCCGCCCACATCCACCCTGGCCCCCAGGGACCGCAGCCCCGGTGCCTCGTCATGCTGCCAGCGTGCCAATCCGTTCTGACGCCTTCACATTCGCTCACGTCACCGTCAGCCTCCGGGAGGAGAGCAGGGCCTTGTCCCTGTCCCCAGACACCCTACGCTCGGCCAAGCCGCCTGCCACGGGGACCGGTGCTGGCCACGCCACAGCCCCTCTGGCTTCGGGACAAACCCCCTTGGGCGCAAGGTCCAGCAAATCTCCCAAGGGCTTTGGGGACACCGAGCCCGTCTGCCATGCCAAGTGCCACCGAGCTGCCACCAAAGCACCACGCCGCTTCACCGCCAGCCGATATTTAGGGTCGCGGTGCCAGCCAGCAGAGACGGCAGACTGTGTGCCCTGGCCACAATACCCGCTGCGACCTGTGACAGCTGCGTACTCCCCAGACCACTGCACCCACCGATCTGGGCGGTGATGTCCCCCTGCGTGGGGGGTGCCCACGTATCCCCACAGCGGCACAGCACCAGTGCTCACCTGCTCGGTTCCCGTTCTCCTCCTCCTGCCAAGAGAAGAGAAAAACACTTATTTGGTGGCCACGTCAGGGCAGTTGCGGCAGGGGGACCGGCAGGGGACCGGAGGGGTGCCAGCCCCATGAAGCCCCTCACAGGACCTGCGTGTTCCTCTGCCCTCTGCCGCCCCCGGCTAAAATTACCTCCTGACATCGGATCCAGTCGGCCCGCCCATGCAGCCCCGCCGGTGGGCAGGGACCCGCCACAGCCCCCGGTACCCAGCTGCTGGGGAAGGGGCCGATTTTGGGGCAGGGGAGCGGGAAGGGGCCCAGCCCGCCTAGGTGGTGGCATCTCGCCCTTATCCTGGGCCACTGAGCCTGACCGGGGACAGCCCGAGCCCCGGCAGCGGGGTCCCAGGGGAGGGACAGAGGTGCCCACTGGCACCCACACCACTGCAGTGCCCGGGCAGCGGGTCCCGGCAACAGGGACCCCCGGGAAGGGGACGGCTTTGCACAGGTGGCCTCAGAGGGGCACCGGCCGCTAGTGGGGCTATATTTAGCCCTGCAATTATTTGGTGGGGGGAACGTGTCCCTGGCGGGGGGACATGTCTGCAGCTTCCCACTGCATGGGGCGGGCTGCCGGGGCTGCGGCGGGTGCTGCAGGGGGTATGGCAGAGGGTTCCTGGCCACCCCCTTCCAAGCCACGGGCAGGGGACAGCCCTGGGAGCCACGCAGCTCTGTCCCTTGGGGTGGGAACCGCGTCCGTGGCTCCTGCCCTTGTCTCCCACATCCTCCTGTGGGGATCCCGCTGCAGAGCCACGCTGCCTAGAGGGTGCCCAAGCTGGGGCAGGGCACAGGGTGCTGGCACCCACGTGGGGCTGCATCCACACCACCGAGCCCCCAGCCCTGCCACGGAGCTGGCTGCACCTGGGGCTGCTCAGCCCCATGCACGGGTCCCATGGAGGGACCCAGGCACCTGGAAGGGGATTTCTCACTCCGCAAGTGCCGGATCCTGCTGTCTCCAGGGGAGGCACAAGTTTGGCTCCAGCCAAGAGGTTTCACCAGCCACAGCTTCCTCCCCAGCCCCCAGCCTGTGCAGGGCAGCGGGGACACAGCCCCAGTGTCCCCAGGGATGGCAGGTCCCTCCAGTGTGCGGGGAAGGGACCGGTCTCCATCCCAGTGTGACAGAGGGACATTCCCGGTGAGGAGGAGGAGGGGGCTGGAGGCATCACTCTATGGTGTCCATTGCATGGCGGGAAGGAAAAGCCACGTCCCGCAGCCTCCGCGCACATCTGGTACCATTGCCCGTGCACCGACTGGCTGCCGCGGTGCCACGGCAGGAGCACAGGGCCACCGAGGGCCCCTGGAGGCACAGACTCGCGCCTCTCCCTGTCCCTCCTTGTTCTGCAGCACCCCGGAGCCCTTCCCGTCCCCCAGGGCAGCCCAGAAGCCCCACTCCCAGGGCTGGGGCCAAGGCTGGGCACAGCGGTGCCAAAGCACGGCACGGTGAACGCAGCTCTGTCGTCACCCTCCCTGCTGAGTCAACCCCACCGAAACTCAGCCCCCGGACCTGGCTGCCCGCCGGCACCCGCGGGTGCTGAGCCAGCCACACCACACCCTGCCCCGCCAGCCCGGGAGCGCCGGCTTGGGCTCAGACGGGTGCCGGGAGCTATTCCCAGCCCCTTTGCAAGAGCATCTCCGCCTCCCGGCGCTGATCTGGCTCCTTCCCACGCGGCCCCGTGTGCTCCCGCCCTGGCGGGGCTCAGCCCTGGTGCCCAGCACCACGGGGCGGGATCAGTCCCTCGCTCTTGGAGGATGCCTTAGGAAGATGGTGGAGAGGTGGAAGCGAACACCTCAGTTCGGAGCAGGTTCAGGCCATCCCCACGATGAAAGCTCCTTTGCAGTCACTCTGCTGGAGACGGGTCAGGTCCGTCTTCCCGGTGCAGGCAGGAAAGTGCAGGCAGGAAGGATTTGGGGAAGCAGAATAAGGAGCCTGGGAAAAGCGCTGTGATGGAGGACGCTGAGCGGGGACTCCGGCAAGTTGCTTCTCCCCACCCAGTGACTCACTTCCCACTGCAGTTCCCTGCCTGTGGGGAGGAGGCGGCGAGCACCGGGCCATGGGGCAGCCGGAGCCATGGGGCAGCCGGAGCCGTGGGGCTGCGGACAGCTGCGAAGCTCTGGGGGTGATGGGAGCATCCATGTCCTCCCAGTGTGGAGCAGGGAAAGGGCTGCAACGGACCACGCGGCTCCCAGACGCTTCTCCCTTCGTCTGCATGAAGCTGCCGCTGCAGAAAACAGGGCAAGAGGGGGATTTCAAACCCCGGGCACTTGGAGCTGGCACAGCAGGAGAGCTGGCTCGTCGCCTTCGGGCGCAGAGGGCACAGTCCACGCTGGAAGCTGCTGGGTGGTTTCGCAGGGTCCCTCCATCCTGGAGGGGAAAGGTGCTGCCTGGATCGGGGCTTCTCGATGGCTCAGAGGGCGCAGGAGGCGATGGCCAACCCGGGCTTTGGTTCCCCCCAAGAGGCAGCACCTGGGAAGGGTCCGGGCTGCAGCTGAGCCAAGACACGATCGCAGCCGCCGGGTCCTGGGGCAGATCCAGCCCGAAGCCTCCCGCTGACGGCCAGGAAACTGGGAGCCAAAAATCTGCTGTGCTAAAAGCGGCGAGCACCGGTGGGGCTGGGCATGTGCCCCTCTCCGGCCAAGGACCTGCCGGCAATTCCTGGTGCTCCGAGGGGTCGAGCTGATGCTGGTCAGAGGAGGAGGAGGGATGCGACGAAGGACTCGAACAGCATCCTCCAAAGCACCTGCTCCCAGGCTTGACTTCATGGTGGCCATGTGTGGTTCACTTCAGCTCGAGCGACGTCCCACTGCGTCGAGCCTGTCCTTGGCCTCGGGGGCTCTGAAGTGCCTTTTCCTGCTGTTCCCAGGGATGCCAGAGCCGTTGTTTGGAGCTGAGGGATTCTCTCCGCTCCCGCAGACAGCCGTGTCCCCTGCCAGAAGGGCTCTGGGACGTCTCCAGAGACGCTGCCAACTTGCTGCTTGCTCAGAGCACGTCTTCCCAGCAGCTTCACGGGCTCCTCCATCCCAGGGCCACCCATGGGTGGGGGAAACTCCAGGCACCCCAACAAGGCAGGCAATGGATGGTCCACTCCGTAGTTCCCCAGACCCGCCCTGCCTACCCCCAGCCCACATAAAAAGCATCCTGCATCCAACCACGGCACCTCGGAGTCCCGCTCCAGCAGCTCTGGGGGTCCCCGTGGCCCCCCCAGGTCCCAGACCTACCTTGGCAGTGGAGTGCACCGCTGACTCCGGGGGGTAGACGATGAAGTGGCGGAGGGTGAAGCCGAATCCCCCCTGCAAGCTCTTCCGCAGCACCACCGTCTTCGGGCCCACCCAGGGGAAGTGCCCCTCTGGGGGCGCGTTGGCATTCGGGGACGCCCCATCTCTCCGTCCCGGTGTTGGCTGTAGGGGATGAGGAGGAAGATGTCACTTCTGGGGGGGTGTGGGGTGTGGGTGTAGGCAGTCTGTCCCCCAACCAGCCCCCTCAAAGCCCCGTGCTGGCAGCTGAAATCTGCTGGAAAAGCCGCTCTGCTCCTCGGAATCCCGTCCCTACTCCCGACCCCACGGCAGCAAATTCCAGACCCCAAAGACCACCCCACCAGAATCCCCCGAGACTCCTCGTATGCGACCTTTTGGGAGAAGATGCATGGAAAGGAAATAAAAAAAAAAAGGGGGGGGGAAAGGAGCTGTGCCTGGGGGTCTGGATGGGACCCAGGAGGCAGCAGGAGGAGAGATGGGGGTGGAGGGGGGAGTCGGGG